GTGCTAGATAAAGCCCCATCATACCCGGGAGGATTGAGTCCCAGAACACAATCCACTTGCGCTACATAGGCCTCAATCTTACACCCTACATTATAAAAATCACTCGATTTATCTTTGACCTTGTCAAGCCATAATTAAGTTTCGGTCCAAGATCAATAAGAGGGGATTGCCTGGTACAGGGTTAGGGTTGGAATGTCCAACAAGTTATTCTAGAACAGTGACCTTGATCCTCTTAAATTAAAATACATGTTCAACCACTGTTATTGGAAACTGGAGCTTTGCTGAACCATTCTTCTCACGTTGGCACTGTCCGGTGTTCCAGCTCGACCGTAAACCCCAGCGTGAATGCACTTGACCAGCCTGAGCTTGTACTGAAGAGAGGAGAAAACAAGGAAAGCGTACATTAGTAAAAGCGGATCTAGTCGCAATAGCATAATGGCATTCCACTAGATATCAAAACTCTTGATGTGTTTCGTTGAGAGCATTTTTGTACTTGAATCTCGGGCACAGTCTGAAGTCTTTACAGATTGGACAGGGTTAGGATTAAGATCATGTATATATGACGGGTGTGACCAATGACCAAATTGACGGGAAGGCGATGGAACTGCAGTCCAGATGAGCCCCGAGTTCGCACTATAAGACAATACAATTTCAACGCTATTCTGAGAATGATGCATGTATTTTATATATAGCACCTGTGGATAGGCTAACCTAACTGGGTTATATAGCCAAATGTATACGCCACAAGCGAAGCAATATTCGCAACTAGAAATAGGAATAATTCAAAACATCTAACGCCGGATCTGAGGAGCAGAATTCCACTCCCCCGGTTCCTAATCCATTTTATTCATTTTTCTGTTTTTTTACATCAAGCTTGGCCACATCTTGGCATTTATTTCCCGCGCTAAGCCAAATCAATTGCAAAGTACCCCCCTAGTTCACTCAAAATATCCCCAATGGCAATCGTCTTCTAGTCACAGCGCACTCAATCCTTGCACTCATAAGTATAGTTTAAAGTATTCCCCCAAAAGACATTTTATCCCATATATAACCCAACCCCAGCATTCTCGGCGCTCGATCAGAACCTTTGCAATACCCATCTTCCGGTCCGCATCACCCACAGCCGTTATCCTCCTTTTTTGTAACTTGTGCCTAACAGTGAGTGCAGAAGCGTCGGACCGCTTGCACGTTTGGCACTGGTATATTGTTCAGCATCTGGCGAGTTTTGAAATCCTTTTGGACTTTGAAGCTCTGAACTGTTATAGTCCTCGATGGAGTTACATCTCCGGAAGGTTAGGGGGGGGGGGTCGTGTTTTTCGGTACTATGTTAATTCCAGGTCTATCATGTCTCTTGGTCGTTTCAGTGTATTAGGTTCTTTTCCGTAGCGGTATTGAGGGAGACAATGGGGAGCTCATATAGGAAACTGGTAGGAGTACCGACGATGGCTATTCAAGCTCGTATGTGTTTCAGACACTTGCTGTATATCGGATTATTCATGATTTGGTAAATTGTTGAGGACCAGTATCGAGTGCTTGCTGACTGCAGCATGAAAATGAATGGGATAAACTTCAGGGTTAGGGGTTTCGTTTCTTGGTCACAGTATACTCTGTGTGATGCAGGATATGGTCGAGGCTGCTACCGCGCCTACTAATTTTCTTCCTGTCACAAACGCTCTTCTTTTCCTTTCTACCATTCCCCGTACTATCTTCTTGGCTTGTAGTATTTAACGGTTCAATGTCGGCTCCCGGAATTAAGCAAGAACTCGGCGCTCAATCGTACAGAATTTGGATTCTTATCTCGTTCCATAAGGCGGAGGTTATTTGACGATGGACCTCCTACCGCTCGAACTATGTATACTCACTTGGTGGCGGAAACGCTTGATTGATTGATTGATAATTCATTAATTGTTTGTGGCAGAAAAGCCTTGTAGTTCATCTCGACACCAAACTAAGTTCTACCTCGTGATCATTATCCCTTTAAAATACGTGTAACACCGAGTCTTCCAAGCAAGCTTCGAGACAATAGCTTGAGACATCCGGTCTCATTGCCATCATTAAATATATCTACCTCTATAAGAGTAGAACAGATAAATCACAAATCCATCATCTGATGCACAGTCACAGTAGCTTTAGTGAAGGAAACACACTGCCAAGGATAAATTTTGTCGAACAAACCATGCAGAGGCAGTTGGTGGGCTCATACGGGATGGAGTAGAAGTAGCATTCATTATCACATGCAGCATGATAGAAAGACGAGATATGTGACAGACGAACATACGAGGTAGCACAACTTCAGCGCTAATGCTCCGCCGCAGCCTCCTGTCACGTCATGGTAGCACCGCCGGGAGCTGGTCATAGAATATCACTCGGTTCGTGGTGAGCCAGGATTTGCCTTTTTTTTTTTTTTTTGTTAACCCACCCACCAGCACCTGGCCCGGCGAGAGGATGTAACAATAATCAGATCAAATAGCAATAGAAACTGAAGTATAAAGCTCACATTCATTTAACTGGCAATATTGAATTAGAAATCCAGTACCTAGGCCTGTGTATTCGAATCTGGGCCGAAACCACCAACAGCGTCCGTCAAAGACCACCCCCAACAACATCCATTCTGGTGCTAGTCGATGTCTTCATCTCACTCGTTCTACTAAGGTCAATACAACACTCGATCAATCTAGGACCGCCGGGAGAACGTCATGGGATATCACTCGCCCCATCGATCCAAGGATAATGTGAATTTTGGGCGTATGGGAGCGTGACGATGATGAGAGGGAGCATTAGAGTTAATTAGCCTATAAGAATATTTCCCACTTGGCAGGTTATCTCAGATTCAAAACCTACTCTCTCGGGGTGGGTTCTGTCAATCCCCAACGAAACCTCTCTACCATAGGTAAAACCCCTGATAAGAGTACTAGTTGGCATTAAATAGATTTCCTCATCTAACTCGCTATAACCAAGGACATCAAAACCACTCGATCACTCGCTCCCAACCCGGTAGTAGTCACCGAGTGATAATCAATGATGCCAATACATTTCTCTCCGAAGATATTGCCTTCCATTACCTCCACCCATCCATTCGCCAATATGATATGCGTCACGGAAAGATGAGAGTATATCATCCTCTGGACCCGGCCTTGACGTTGGTGATTATCTACCCCCTCTCTCGCGGGCTTCGACCTCGCTGGACACAAAAGGGCTTTCATAAAGATCGAACAACTTCGATTAATGCCGAGATCCGCACCATTGGTAACGCATTTCAAGGGAGAATCTAGTGCACGTGGACCTGATCGATGACCACGTCCGACAGCCATCAAAGGTCGACCTAGAAGTGGGGGCGGCCTATTTTTTCTGTTTTGCAGTTCCGGAATTTAAGCCGACAGCGCTCAATCTGTTTGTCCTCTGCAGTTACATTCCTAACACTAATCATGACGACTCTCCCTGTCAGCGGTACTGTCATCACCTCCGCGCTGGATACAATATAGGAATTATTCCTCAATCAAGCAAGGGTTAGGGTTTCATACTTGATGATCCGAAAGCCCATCGCCGTATGTTGTCTTCCCGGGCACCGCTATTCCGATACCAGTAGATCTATGCGAGTGATCTCAAGGACCGGAGGAAAGATTGCAACCTTGTTATCCTATGGCACGGCACGGCACAGAACTCAACGGTGGAAATGTGGGATGGGTGGACAAGGAGGACCCTGTGAGATGAGATGGACGGATGCGTTATGGAGCGGAATGGAAATGCCCTCTGGTCTCAGAAAGTACATGTTATGAGCAGTGGCTTTGTCGCTGGCGGGACCACAATCCGTACTCGATCCTCGTCTGGCATGGGTGTGCTCGACTTGGCAATCACAGATTATCACCCGGTGGTCTTGGCACTCACGAGATATGGCTCGGTTCTTGGCTCGACTGCGCGAGTCGCATCGTGCATTCATGGCTGCCGAACTTGACGTTCTATCTGAACTCTGTGCTGAAACAAATGCGGAAGTTCGGAAGAGAGCTCCACGCCTGGGAATATTCTCCTGTGTTCTTTGGTATAAGTGAATAACTCTCCCGGGGGTTGTCGGGCACGCAATTTGATTGTGTGTTAAAACACGGTCGCAGCGAGGATATCAGTAACCGACTGGTGTCTCAGAGTCGGCTGTAGCGTGGTGTATCATAGCGCCGTAGCACACCCAGTTTTCCGCAGCCACTGCCTCGTATAGCCGAGGATGCGCTGCCATGGGATATGAGCGGTTGCAATGGCGGTAGAGTAGAGTGTGGGTTCACTCGAGCGTTCCGTAAAGAACTCCAATAGCTCCTTGCCATTGACTCCAATAGCTCCTTGCCATTGACTCCCCCACGCGGTTGATAGCCTCGCCGGATAGCTGCCTTAGCTTTGTGGCCAATATGAAAGGTCTTATTGGGCACACAAACCTGAATATTTCAGCGAACGCTCCCTCACGGCGATGACACGTGCACAGGCTTGTGCTGTCGTTCGCCCTACCGATCTGGCGCTGGCCTCTATTAACGGAAAACCAGTACACACGTGTAAGTAGTATTCGGGATTATTGCGGTACCTGGAAGTCCTCTCGAGCATGCTGAGGACGACCACAATCTTATTGGAGCATGCATAGTGTGGTCCACGAGGGAGCTCAAGGCATGGGGGTCGACAAGGCGAGGATGCTCGAGGCAAACCCTCTTGCTCGCCTCGAGCTTCTCGAGGTTTAGGTAATCATAGTATTAGTGGCATATATTCAGTAGGGTTGATGTTTCTGATAGGAACATTGGAAGCATTCCCTACATTTGCGTTCCAGTATTACAATAAAATACGACTTTGACAGATCTAAATATAGTAATTATCTGCCTCGAGCCAGCTCGAGCACCCCCATTCTTTCCACGAGCAAGCAAAGGCATGGACACACGAGGCAGAGCCACCTCGAGCACTTGTCACTGCTCGCCTCGAGCAGCCTCGTGGACCACACTAAGCATGCACATGTACATAGACAGCACCCGACAATGAATACGTCTATCGATAAGTCCGGTTTCGAAGAGCTCTCCAAAAGAGCCCAACACAGAAACTCCAATGTGCGAGACTCTCTTCCGGTAAGTGGGCTCAAGCATTACTTCTAGAGGCACTATTGACGAATTGTCGCCCCGCAGCCTAATGTAATAATGGGCGGGGCCGATCATTAACCTTCGCCAGCTGGGCTATTCGTGGGCTTTAATGTGTTGGATGTCTCCCTATATCGTATGGGATTTTCTTGCTACATTCCGTAGCGCATGCATCCCCGTACTCATGATCGGTGGTGGCCACTGAACGGGACGCCGAGTTGAAGGTTCCGAAAGACGCCAGCAGGAAACATAGGGTAGGCCAGATGGGGTTTCTCTTTCCCCTATCAAGACGCATCCTTGGTGGGACACCTGATATCTCTTGCCGCCAATAATGTGCATATATATGTGCAGTTTCACGTTGATGCAACTTGCCGATGAACAAGGCGATAAACACCAGCCGGAAATGGGCGAGGGACGCCCCCCGTGAAACTAAAGAGGTAGGAATAAGCGTTCAGGCTGCTATACTATATGGTGTTCATTAGGACATGAGGCTCTTCAACTCCTATCCACATCTGAGCGGATATAGAAAATTGTCCGACGGCATGCGGGCATTCTCAAGGACACACCCAGGCCCCTCCCTATATGTACCCCACCTGAGATCCGTATTTATATGCCCCAGCCCTCTCCCTTCTCGCGTCTGTCCGTTGCTAGCTGGTCTATTCAATAAAGACCCTTTCGTATCTTACGCTTTAAGTTTATCTCATCAAACCGAGCCTTGGTAGATCTTCCGTAAGATTTCGTTCCTCTACCGTCGCTGGCTATATTACCAGCACTGCCTTCTACACCTCCAATCTCATTTGCCATAGAGGGTACACGAAGGCTAATTCTCCTACTCACACTACAGCTCAAGCAATGGATTACGGATACACCCGCTAGCCCAGGAACGATCAGTACTACCATGACGAACCCAGATATGACCAGCACCGCTACGGTCGTACCCAGAATCGCAACTCCCGCCGCCCAAACCAACAGCTCTCTGCCCCGGTTCGGCGCTCTCACCCCCGCTCGAATCGCGAAGCTGTCAATCGACGAGTCGAGCCCACGCGACAGACTGATATTGGGCCCAAGATAGCTCCTAGTGCGCTCGAAGTGTTCACTAACGCCAACCAGACGGGGGCCTCATACTGGCTCGACCGCGCCGCCAGGATCAATGAAAGGACACACGTCCCCAAGGAAAGACTCAAAGAACAGAAAAGGCAATATGAAGCCAAGGCCCTGGTGCGCTCCGCGAAAGCCAAAGCGGAGGTGATGCAGCTGCTGGATCACCAAGCACGCGAGTTGAGCAAGGCCTACACTGCATTGATCATTCGAATCTTGCAGGAATCCCATTCAAGGAGTATGAACGCCATGCGATAAACGAAATTGCTAGTGGAAGGTATGTTGAGGAACGCATACAAGGTGCGGGGTGCTGTGGAACGGGCCGTTGATGTTTGCAAGCTCCGCGATTACAAAGTGCGGCGTCGTCTTGAGGAACGGGCCGATGGTTTTCGCGAGGCCCGTGATTGACAGGATCTTTCAGACCATTGCGTCGGTAATATTGCGGTCGCACAGAAGATGATTTAGGGCCGGGACGGATTTCTACACAGGGGGACGGTTGATGTCCGGCCTTCTTTCGATCTTGGAGTGCTGTGATACGATACTGTCTGTACCTTTCCTATCCGTTTGTTTTCACTTTTCGCTGATGTCGGTTGAAGCTCATGATGATGAAACGAATTGATTACCGCTTACAATAATTGATATCGATGTGGATGTGAGAAATCAACTCCGGAACATGAGGACAAGCGCATGGCTGGCCTCCTAGATCATCCTCTGCACGGAGGGTCACCACCTTATGTGCAGATCAAGCACTCTGGTAAAGATGACAGTTAATTCTCGGAACCTTATATAAGCAGTTTCCCAAGTGGATAGCCAGGCAGGCGCTAAATAGGTTGCCGGGCAAGAGATAACGTTTCTTGACACCGCACACTTCCCCAATAGCTCCGGAGTGGGAGGCGACTGGAGAACGAATCTTTCTTTCCGAGAGCAACTGAGAAATTTGACAGCACATGGTGCAGATGGAGCCAGTGATCGTATTAGCATGGTGTTTCGTGTTGGGCTGTGGCGAGGTTGGGTCGCGTGGCGCATAGTGCCAGCCACATGTGTAAAGCCCCACGCTGTGTGGCGTTCTCTGCTCTCAGGCCGGTGACCTAATAAAGTATCGTGTCTTCGGTGTCTATCCCTTACGCTGTTAAAGCTGCCAACTTTTCCAAGTATCATGTCTCAATTCTGTGGCTTGCGTGCGAAGCTCGCCTGGTGTTACTATGTCTCATGTTGGCAGCATTTAAGTAACAGCGTAAGGGATACACCACTTGCCAGTTAGCCAGATTTAGGCATGGGCGACACCCTGGTTGAGTTTTCCATTACGACAGAGGTGTCTGATAGACGCCAGTTCGGACAAGCCGGTATACTAGGTTAGGCTCAGGGTCAGGGGTATTGCGAACGGTAGTGTAGGGAGTAGCAGATGATGAGGGTCACGTGCTTTTCAGCCCAAGTTTCTCAGGTAGTGTTCGCGGACAAACTTGGTTAATTATTTCTCAACACCGGAAATACTAGCGTAAGCAGTAGTACATGCAGTGGTGGGGGGTAGGACTGTGTTTGTTAGGGTGACAGTACATGGTCTTAGTAACTTTTAACCCTGACCCTGGAACCTGACTACATGTATGGTGCCGGTCTCGATGAACCGACAATCCGCGCCAATGGCCCGGGCGAAAAAAGGATTGATTAGGCACATATAATCTGGTTTTAGAAGCAATCAAGTATATATCCTAGCAGAATAACTGTTTCCAGGTGAATAAATTGTCAAAAAAACCCTGGTTTGGGCGGGCGACAATAGAGAATTTACACCCGAATTTGTAGACCTATCTATAAGTCCTTCAATAAAACGAAATAGAGAGAACGGGGAAATACAATTTATAGTCCTGGTGGCCTACAGATCCTATTTTTTAGAATTTCGACTTTTATATTTTTGGAGGACGAGATAGATTAGGCGCCGGGGAGTTTCTACAAGGGCAATACTGTAGGTTTATCGTGACCGGCACCATATGTACTGCCTACCACATGTCTGGTAAACATTGGCGCTGGTTTTACTCACGGAACTTTTGTCCGAAGATGTAATAGGAAGAGCAACCCTGCTCCTGAGCTACCAAAGTCATTGCTGCAGTAGAGGGAAACGTTATCCAAAGCCCAACATGCGTGTAAGCCAGACCGTCAGTTCCGTACTCCTCCTTAGAACTGTTTCAGTGAATTTCATCCACTGTACCGCCTTCGGATTAAATGATATCTCACCGGCGCAGGGGCTCAAGCAGAGCCGCGGCGACCTCAGATGCTTGGTGCGGCGGTGCGGGCCTGGACACCTTCCGGATTGGGCTGCGGTAGCCGGCGCTAGAGACGTAAAGATACCCTGTCCAAAAATACACGGTCACAGTTGCGACCAGAGATATATGTAGTTTGTGAAATTCACTACAGCGCTTGCCTAGAGCGAGCACACAGCCGACCGAGCAGAGAGGACCTCCACCATGCAAGATATCTTTTGCTGTGGGATTTGTGCCAGGTTTGTATGGTGGAGGTCCTCTCTGCTCGGTCGGCTGTGTGCTCGCTCCACTGTATCTTCTTGCGATTGTAGTACCGAAACAACAAGAATGAATATTAGAACAAACACGCAAGAAGAAAGAAATTGAGTAGACATATGTATAAGCGAATTGGCGATCCCTAGAGAAACTACTGCTTGTGTATGGAGGGATGGTAGTAGGATAAATTGTTTACGGAAGCGACAGAACTCCAGACTTTTGGGTTGTATTATTAGATTTCTATTTCACTTTCTGCTGTTATCTTTCATTTTTATTTCATATTTTGGTATCGCAGACATTGTCATAGCCTCCGGGCTGCACACAATTAAAGAATTCTCAATCAATCAATGGAGGGATGGCAAAAATCGAGTGATTTCCTGTGTTCGGTAGCTGTGGTGGGGCAACCACACGGTCGCGTATGAGGCTCTAGGACCCTGATAGCCTCGGCTCTGTCATGTTACGACCTCTCAGCCACATGCTTAGCAACGCCCGTTCCACATATGTATCAAGAAGTGTAGTCACGGTCTCGCACCCGGAATCTCTATCTGCGCTCTAGTCTTTTTCATATATTCTCCATCGCTGTAGAAAGGATCGACCTCCTGGTTCAGTGCGAAACGCATGTCAACTGTGGTGCGCTTAGAGCTCGGCATGCAGGTACACCCCATCCCTGTCTGTGCTGTGGCCCAGGGACCAGCAGCAGTAACCAACCTAACCAACCGCACCATGAGGCAAGGGAAAGGATAAGCGAGAGCCCCACTTCTCATAGTCATAGGTGGGACTTATCGCGGATGAAGGCTGTTGTATAAATAGAACATCAGCGCTTGTACGGTCTGCATCAACTTTGAGATGTCCTGTCTTTTGGAGTTAGCTCGATGCCCGGCCGGAGGAAGTATCGCGGTGCCGCGCGGGGCTGCTGCCAGGGGGAACTTCGAGTAAGTGGTCGCGGTCGCGGCGACTGACCGGACTAGCGCGGTGATTTGTTGCCGCGCAGTGGCATACAGACATGACAGACTACAGGGTGTGGTGTGTGCAGCGCGAGGAGAGCACATGTGTGGCTGCGAGTGGGGCGGGGCGGAGGGTGGATGGATCCCTGAACGCACATCCCACGCCACATGCGCCGTGCTTGCTTGCAACCTCTCTGTCTCAGCGGCGCAACTCACGCTACACGCGCCACTCCCGCCGCACCGCCGCAACTCACGCTACACGCGCCACTCCCGCCGCACCATTGACAGGGACATGGATCGGTCGATATCCCGGTCAAGTATGTTCAAAGCTACATGTAGCTTTTTGCACACGGCTTACTTCCAACGACGATGAGGCTAAACCAACCAAGGGGAACGAGGAGAGGGCCTATAGCTAGCTTCATTCCACCTCTTGAACCAATTATAAGCCACTCTCACCACCTGTGCACTAACTGCGCGCCTCGTGCCACTCGCGGGGGTTTGGTTGTCCAGCCACGCCCGACCGTTGCTGGGGCGCACAATGTGCAACATCTCTGGTCCACGGGTCGGCCAGCTTCTCGGGGGAGATCTAGGATCTACTGATGTGAGAGCTAACATCGATTCGAGGCTTCGGTGAGGCTATCATAGGTGTGGTTGGATACTGCGGCGGTCGTGAAGGAGCTGTTAGGGGGAGTTCATGTATAAATGGTAGCATCTTCCTCCCCGATGCTACCACAATCCATCATCTCCAACAGCATCTCAATACATCCATAGACACACAACTCGGCCGGTCCAGAGTTACATTCTCTCATTTCCTTTCCTTTAACCAGTTTATACAAGTGAGTACACGCCACCAGTATATCCGCTTCTCATAAACTAACAACACCATCCCAGATATCTTCAATTTCACCACCAGCACAATGAAGCCAACCACTCTCCTCCTCACAGCTCTCCTCTCCGTTCTCTCCCTCACCGCCCAGGGCACCACCGTCTCCGGATCCAAGTCAGGTGTAGGCGCCGCGCATCTTCTCCCCCGCCAGCAGGGCGGCGCCTCCCTCCACCACCTCCACCGCCGCAACCCCGCCACCGCGAAAAAGGCGGCCCCAAAGCGGGCCGCCGCCAGGAAGACCACCGCCTCCAAGCAGACAGCCGCAAAGGCGAACACCGGGACGGGGACGAAGAAGGGCGCACAGGCCGGCACCAAGGCGAAGACAGCCTCCGCAAAGGGTAACGCGGGCACCGCAGACACCGGAGCGCTATGTCTCCTCCCCCAGGCGGGGGGCAAGGCGGGCGCTAAGGGCAGGCTCGGGAAGCGTGGCGAGTGTGGTCTCACCGCTGAACCGACAGTGGGCACATACTCGCTTGGGATGAAGTGCTCGGCCGCGAAGAAGGCGAAGCGCATGACGAGTGTATTTCTTGTTACCGATAATGACCAGTTCTGTGCGCAAGATTTGGGTAACGTGCCCCCTTTTCTTTTCCCCTTCTGCATCCGCATTGGAATGAATGAATGAATGTGCTAACACCTACGCACAGGCCACCGCTACAGCGGAGCAAAGATCAAGGAGGCGGCGATCAATGGGCGTGATCAGTGGGTCGAGGAGCAGGCGGCGATACAAAAGTACCTGAAGGATACATTGAACCCCTTAAAGAATGAGGCGGAGAAGAATGGTCTGAAGAAGGGCGATCCCGGTTACCCAAAGTTTAACCTCCAGACACGCCGGTACCCAAAGGTGTTCGGGAACGAGATTGGCGGCACTGGGAGGAATAGGCTCGACCCCGTCATCAGCGACGACGAAATCAAAAACTGCCCGGCCGAAGTTACGAAGAGCGGGTGGGGGACGGTGTGGATTTTTATCGAGCATCCCGTCCTCGAGACCGGCGAGGTCTTCGATTCGGTGAGTGCTGTTACCGCTCCTGGTGGCTGAAGTGTTGCGTGCGTGTGTGCGGTGCGGTGCTGACGGTGATGTAGAAACTTAACAAGAATCAGAGGCCGGAGTCGGATCGGGCTCTGTTTGTCCTTGAGCTGGCAACTTCAAAGATTAAGTGTGTGTGGCTCGTAAGTTATTTCCTCTGGCTCCCATTGCCGACGGCGGGCTGACAGTTCTAGATTACACACGTGAGCATGGAGAACAATGCAGTCAGGGCGGGATATAGGGTACCTGCACCCAAATAGAGGTGAGTTGGGGGTTCTGGGGGGGGGGGGGGGGGGGCGGTGGCTTTGTAGGCAGAGAGGAACAGAAGGGGAGAGAGACTCCTTCTTCGGGATGAATGGTGATATGGATGTCGCGCTTGATGAGAGAGATATGGGATATAGAAGCTGTGTGCTATAGAGTGACAATGCGAACTGTTGGTTTTAACTGAAATTTATCCGTGCTAAAGGAGAGATGGAACTTGTACGTGTAGCCTGTGAAATTGTCCCGCTCCACGCACATAATTTCTCCGTTAAACCCCGAGTGGAGAGTCCCATTCGGGTTTAAACTGTTCCGACGTTTGTGATAAATATTGGTAATCTTGATTTGAACTTTGAACGCTTGAGGACCCGATTGGGAATGTTCCGTAAGGCGTGCTATTTAACTCGTGAGGAACAACGAAGGGTATTGGAATATCCGCTGCCACGTGTCTCTAAGCTAGCTGCTCTTTTTAATCATGCTTTCTCTTAGTTCGTTGTTGGAGGAGACGGTTGATTGAGGCAAACCATTTCACAAATATCTGCATCCGAATATAGCAGCTCGCAAGTAGAGGCTCGCAAGCCCGAAAGGAGAAGACCCGGCAAGAAGGGTGATGCTGCAACATGTTGAGAGAGACGAGATAGTCAATCAATCAATTGCCAGTAATTAAAATAGGTTGGGGGTCGAGTGATACGTCATGCGCCTAGCCACCAGATCAAATCTTCTGCTCTGCGGTAATCTCTAGAGTACCAGGCGGGGAGGGTTTCTTTCCCAGATATCCGGGTAGAATTTAAAGAGCGGGTGAATTGCAATGCGTCGGATTTCCAATTTGCTTTCGGGGGGTCAGGCCGGGCCGGGTCGGGGCGATATGTTTTGGGCAATTCGCGGACGCGACCTTTTCACCGGACGTCCTCGAATGGGTATCGCACTTGATCGGCACTTTGTATATTACGGACATCTGCCGGATAGGCGTCCTATGCATCGGACATCTTGGAGAATGTCGGAACCAATACCTATCGCTGTGCAAGAACCGATTCCCGGGAACTAGTAATATTTCCGATATTGAATCATGAGCTTGGGATTGATGGAGCGCGGCCGGCACTTGAAAAATAGAGGTGCTTTTTTCAGTCTTTTCTGTGAGCTGAGGATGTTCTGACTCCGTTCTGAGTAGTAATACAGTGTCGGGTCCCAGTACGACTTCCGGATAATTCTGGGAATTCAAAAAACCCATTTTCTTTCTTGCGCTTGCAGAGGTCAAGCTCGCGGTGGTGGTTCTGTATCGCCCCGTTGTAGAACTGCCTGACAAAATAAAGATTTACGCGGAGACCAAGCTGGGGGTCCGTTCCGGTGGGGTTTCGTAAATCGGTGGAGTTGGTGATAATGTAGTGGAATACTTTCTGATGTAGATATCGGCCTTAAAAACGGCACCAATCCGGCCTCGCACTCTTCCCAACCTCTATGTCCCTATCTCGCTAACGACCAGGCCGCGCATCCTCCACATTAATCATAGACTATCGCTCGGTCGGATCTTGACCCTCGACCAAGAGCATGGGTAGAGTACCACCACCCAACACACTACGTGGCAGAAGTCAAGCAGATATGAGCTACAACAGCCCGGCCCAATTACTTCTATATGAAACCTCACCACCCCGACTGTGGCCACTACGCTCTACGTAATCATAGAACATCACCCGGTATGACCCTGAACCTTTGACAATAGCTCCTACACCTGGTACCACAGCTCCACATAGTCCTAGATGGTCTACTACCCCTTGCCAACTCAGTCATAGGACGACCTCGACAACAAAATCCACCCTAATCATAGATTATCACTCGGCTAACCTGTAAATGCCAGCTATAGACGACTCTCCTCTTTAACAACCCGATCTTCCATCAGACCTGGAATCCTGCCCATTAAGGATTGTGGTCCCTCTGTTCTGGCCGTGCAACCTGTCAGGTAGCGCAACCTCCTACCACCACACCACGATTACGACGCGTGACCTCCACCGTGCTCCACAATCAATGGCCTCCTCCTGCCTGCCACCGCCGTAACCACGACCGTGCTGTCCAGCATATGACCTCTGTGCTATCATACAGCCACGTTGCGCAACCCATAATACCCCCGCGAGTACAAACTACTATCCAACCCCCTACGTACCCTCAACAAAACCAATACCTCCACCATGTTGCGGAAACCCGCCAGGCAACATGACGTGGACCTCACACCAGCAACACCCCCTACAGGGTAACCTACCTAATACCTACCCAGGCTGCGCCAGCTTAGGGGCGCTACCTCTAGCTGCGCAACCTCTGCCGCAATCATGGGATATCACTCGTTCAGACCATCACCCCAACCACAACATCCACCATGTAGTACTACTGCCTTTTCCAGTCGAGGAAGGTCGGTATATGACCCCCCACCACGTCCTATGGTAATTTCAACAATAAGACGTGACTCAACCTCGTTCTCTAGCAGGATCGTGGAATATCACCCAACTCGACCAAAGACCCTCGACTAAAACCCTAATATATATAGTGCCCCAAAACCTACACAGATAGTGGGGGGAATGTGAGTCGACGTTCCTACTACCTTATATGTAACTGCAACCTACGACACGATATCGACCACAACCTCCATATTAATAGAGGAATATTACTCGATAACCTCCTAACCATATTTTTAAGGTCGACCAGTGGTTAGGAGCCTGACCCGTCTTCCAGTCGAGATAGGAACGGGGGTGAGATGAGAACGTTCCTGGTGTGGACGAGTAGGAAGAAAAGCTTTGATACTGCGGATAGATGGAGTTATTCCCCGCTTGACCAGGCGAGAAGGGAATATCCCGGATGTGGTTTTACCTATGAGCGACGGCAAGATCCTTAAAAATAGATCAGATGGTTGATTAATGGGAGACGGCGCAAAAGATTGGTATGCATGTATGTCCAAGTTCGAGTGCGCCCTCACTCACTGTCGAATCCAATACGTTCTACTTAATTCAGCCCCCAAACATTTTCACTTATGCTGATAGATATTCCCTGGACGGACTTAGCGAGATGCATCAATTGCCAAGTATACCAATTTCAGGCAACCCGTCTTCCTCACCCCCCCCACCCCCCATCATTGACCTGCTCCATACGCTCAAGCAAAAGATGCTTACTCGCGGCCGCATGGTCAGTCGCATGTAGCTAGAGCTGTGGTGGACTGTGTTACTATTAAAACCTATTGCGTAGCCCGAATATGGAGAAGTTCGAGGTAGTGCCAGATTGGGAACGACAACTACTGGACCAGATAATCCGTAATGACGTGACGTAACCTTCGGAGAACCGCGGGCGTGGTGGTTGAAGAACCCGGCTATTGGGGTGATCTTCCCACAACCTCGCTGTCCGTCCTACATCAGGCTTTGCCGACCAACTTCGTCAGCAGTATCCCCCTCCCTATCTGTCGTGAGGTCAACGGAATTATAGCCCGGAACGAACCATGGAGTCGGCCGCCAAGATCCCCAAGTTTGATCCCCTCCTATCGTGTCCTCCCGCCACGGTCCGGCGATTACTTGGGCTGAGTTCCCGGGAAGAGAACACCATGCGGATCGGTGAAAATCACTGGTAACCTGGCGAGCTAGTACGGTTTGTGAGGCTAATAATGCGTTAGCGGTGAGGCAGGCGTACATGAAGGACATGGCTGGTTCGGAGGAGAACTACAACGAGCCATGGAGAGAGCTTCTGAGGACTAAGCAACAGCTTACAGCAAACATGACGGCGAAAGCCGCCGAGAGGATCCAAAATCTAATCTGAAATGCAGAAACATCATCGTTCACGCCGAGTGGTACCCCGAGTGGGCGCACTGTATCGTTCACAGGGGTAGTTACAAGTCACCGAGAATCACAGCGGGGGCTGAAGCAGAGGATAAAGAGGCTGAATCAGAGGGTGAATCAGAGTCTGAAACTGGGGCTGGGGCTGGGGCTAGAGCTGGGGCAGAGGTTGGTTCGGGGAGTCGCAGGCCTTGGGAGATTTGGTAATACATCTTTTTTCTACATACACGCATCTACTACTGCCTACATTATGTAAGTACTTGTTCCCACTTTCCGTTCTTGAATACCACTTTGCGTTCTTGAATACCAATTTGCTATTGTTTAGCATTATTGGATTTACGCTGTTCCTGGGAGGCAAAAATGCACAGACAGCGAAAATAATAAGACTTTATTCCACCACTAAATTTACGAGACTTTAGGGGGTCGATTTGCGCCTGAAGTTTCTAACAATGCAATCTGTATGAAAAAAGACCTTCATCTAGTCGATTCGGCAAAGAGAATTTGGGTTTCTCGAGGGTATGATGGGCGACATGATAATGGGTTGTTTTTGACAAATTGAAACGGCACCACGATGGAGATTCTGCACCTACACGGTACAAGTGAGTTCTTGCTGGTTGTTGGTAGGGACGGTTTCACTTTGACTTTAGCAAGCTTCTGCAGTCTATACAAACTTCGCCGGGGTTATAATACAGTTGCGTGATATTTTCGAACAGGTTCGCCAATCAGGAGCCATTAATTCCAACAGCTTTTTAATATGTAAAGGGTATTTTAATTCTAAAAGTATGTGTAAAAGGACCTGCCTCCCTGCGAAATCATGCCACTTCAGATTGTTTCCTCTCAACCGCAACCAAGGGCGTCAATGGGCCAGCCCGGGCTGAAAAATAGGTTCCCTGGCCCGGCCTATGATATCAAAATCACGGCCTGACCCAAGTTAAATAGCCCGGGCCAGGCCCGGGCTTCCATGCATAGGGGTGTCGTCGGTAGGAACTGGGTGTTCATCCATCCGAACTGGTTCGCGTCGGCTTGATTTATTGTGTTCGTTGGCTGTAAATAGATAAGATCGATTATGCTCCAGTTTTCACTACCTCCTATAGTAAAAAACGTCTAGGTGTCTTCGAACCCTCCTTCGAACCGCTAATATTGTATGAACACCAGGAAGCCCGGGCCTACCTATTTAGCCCGGGCTAAATATTAACCTCCACCCAGCCCGGCCCATCAAATAAAACCTATGGCCCGGCCTGGACCATGAAAAAATAGCCCAGGCCGCCCGTCTCAGCCCACGGCCCATTGACGCCCCTGACCGCAACAGACAATACTAGCTATTGGTTACAGGCCGTAGAGGTCTTTTCTTGTTGATGATCTAGATCTATTAATCTAGGGACTCGAAGTAAGATATACATCTAGTGTTGTGTTTGAGTAGTAGGTTCGTCCTTTTTGCATTTTCACCAACCCCGTTGGCGTGTTCTCAACAATATTTTATCAATTGTGGTTAACAGTTCTATCACCAATAAAGATAATCTCCAATGTAAACCTTGTCTCCCTATCAATCATGTCTAAATTATAAGAGGCCACGAGTTTCATGTCAAGCTCCTTCCAAATCAAATGAGTCAAGCATTCTAAACCCGTGGTTACAAAGACCTTTAGTTGCAAAAAAAAAAGAAAGGAAAAGATAAAGTAATGTAAAAACAAAGAAGAAATAATATAGTAGAAAATCTAAACAGATAATAATATGCAAATAAATACGGAAATGAGCAGGAAAATAAAATTATATGACGATCTTATGAATACAGTCGATTGATAGTTAGGTGAAAATCATTGACATCTCTATATTAAAAGTTTAGATTACTGTGGAATTGGTGTGGATGGACTAAGGGATCGGCTGGGGTGGAATAGGTTTGGGTTGTCGCAAGGTGGTTGAATACACTGCCGAATTCTGCCGCTGACCGAGTCTTTAGTATATGGCTATGAAGTGACACAGTGGGGAGCTGAACAAGGAACGTACCGGATGGCGATCTGATAAGATCCGAGTGTGGATAGATGAGGAGAAGTGAGAGTTTGGGTGATTGGACACTGCGGCCAGACGATATTCCGTACCCTGGGGTCACCAACAGCTCAAACAGTATAGCAGCAGTACTGGTTGTATGTTCTCTATATGGGGTGGTAACCGGAGTTTTGTAGTGGCGAAAGGTGACAGGATACCATATGATAGAAGCTTAAGATCCTGCGCTTGATGAATTCTATAATTAGAGAAGTTACATGTAGTCATGATTTAATGTACATTAAGGATGGACGTGGGAGGGGTGGGTCGGAGATGGGTCGGAGATGGGTCGGAGCTGGGAGGGAGTGTGATTCTTATAACAGATGGACTTTCATGATCAGAGCGTGTTTGTACTGTCGTTCAAATAGTGGGACTCTTCCATTTGGCTGCCGTGAGATGTTGTAAGATGAAGAAAGAAGGGAAATGCATATTTATAGGCTTGCAATGCCGAGAGAGAGTTTGCGTTTATACAAGTGTTACTAATGGTGCATTACTATATATATGTATTTGGCAGTGTCCATAGTATCTTCTATCAATGAAGACCTCTTTTTATATCGAGTGTATTAAGTATGATCAACTGCCCCCGACCACCCAATCAATGAATCAAACAAAAGTTGAAAAAAGCTCAGCAGCCGAGTGATATTCCATGACTTTCTCCACACTTGTCGGACTATACACACGTGCACTCTTCAGCCTGTACTATACTAGACTAGCAGTGGGCCACCTCGCGACCATGAAGTGCTGGTTCCGCTACTAGGCACTGGTTTGGTGCGACTTCATTCACCGTAGTCTGTCTTCGAGTTCTTTGGATTTACCCTTAGTGTAAGTGACTGTATTTTGCAAATGCCCACAGTGAATAGAGCTGTAAGAGAGAGATAAATAGTACATTTTTTCAATTCATTTAGACCCATCATCAAACAGTTCCTACCCGGCTGCCTACCTACCTGTCTAAAAATGACAGACTCCAATACCTCTAATGCATCTGTTATACCCTCCTATGAAGCACCTACTGCTCTTCTCCTTGCACCTGCTGTACCTGCCTCCCCTTAGCTCCTGATCATTGAGCCTACTCCGATCCCTGCCCAGCCTGCTGCCCTGCCAAGCCTCCTGCTGAGTCTCTTGCTGAGCTTCTTGCTCAGCCATCTGTAAAGATGTTTGGTAAGCAACCCACTAACCCCCAGTGTCCCACCTAGCCCCAACGTCACGCCAAGTCAATTACCAAGTGTGATGACTCAGACTCTGAGTTTGGCAACCTTGACAGTTATTGATACGCCGAGTCTGCTATCAGTTGTTCAGTTGAGGTTATGGAAGGGTTGGTCAAAAATGGATTTGTTAACATCAATAATATCAAGAGGGTATTAGCTATGGAGATGGTTAACTAAGTTTTTTTGAGGGAGGAGAGAGATCTTGACATCCAGAAGGGTATTAATATGGAGGCTATCTTGGGTGGATATAGGAGTTACTATGAAGTTGAAGTGTGTAACTTATTTGCAGAAAGTAATGGACTATTTACGCGCTGGGCTAGAATTGGGTCTCTTATGAAGTTATTAAATCAGGAATTTTATGCAATTGCGAAGGAGATGGAGTAAATTTATGTAAATAGCTTACATTTCAATAGAAATTAAGAACACACTCTACTCTATCATTCAGACCTTTGATGTCACCCTCATATATTTGCATTTTTTTGCTATAATTATACTTAGTGCAATGCATCGCGAATAGACTGTAGGTGTAATATGACGCAAATCAACTGTAGGCGTAAGGCAATACGATCCGCATAGAGTGTAAGCATAATGCAGTGCTTATATGGTATAGGTGGAATACGGAGTTTGCTGACATTGCCACGATGTTGGGCAAGATATAGCGTGTACTGATTGCAGGCTTAGTGCTGCGTGTAAAACTGTGGGAATACTGCGATGTGTAAAGAATGTAGTAAAGGACAGAGCGTAACTCCTGTACGTCCCTTGCAGCGTGCAAGTGGTATGGAGGTATTGCCGTACGTAACCACAGTGGGTGCAATACAGCGTGCAATAATGGTTGATGTAATGCGGTGTATTGCAACAAATAGGGATGATAGGTGTATTACAGTTCGCGGTAACAACGGTAAACGTAATGAGAAGTTCAACGACAGTGTGATAATGGTTGGCATAATGCGGTGCATTGCATTGTGTAAGAATGATAGGTTACTGTAGGTGTATTGTAGTTCGCAACCACAATGGTCGTAATGAGGTTTGCGATTGCGGTTCCCATGTTACGGTACATGAACACTGTTAGTTGAATGCGGGTCGTAATAACTGTGATGATATTGCGGAGTGTATAAACTTTGACAGCTTTGCGGAGTGTAAGGGCTGTTGGCGTTCTGTGAGTTGTAATAACATTAACATAATGGACAATTGTAAACTATAACTTACTGTTCATTGTGTCTCAATACGACTTTGATGTACATGCTAAGAGAAACAAAATACAAAGGATAGTTAGAACAATACTTCAGGATACACTACGTTATCTATTGCATACCAAACTCTGCAATCTGCAAGACCCTCAAATCTCCACATTTGTTACCCTAGGTAGTGCAACATAAAACTACCCATTTGGAAATTCTGGCTAATGCGAATCCACACCTACAAGATCTGGGATTACCCTTTTGCTTTATTGATGGTAATTGCAAAAGATAATTGAGCAGGTAATAGCTTGCGTATAAGAATACAAGGTAGCTCTCTCTCAGTTGTAGAGGGTTTCTGGTAGGGCAATCTCGGACAGGATTTTGAGGTTGCCCGAGAACCGTTTCTCCAGAATTTCCAGGTCCGTAGGTATAGGTTGAACAGGACGATACGAGTCATTCCCATCATGAGGTATTTGCAAACAGGGGATCGTGGTTGTGATTACAGGGGCAGAGATGATAGTTGGGGGCTGTTGAGTAGGGTAACTCACTGTGAGTTTTGGCA